AACTAAATTAAAAGGCAAATCTTTCGATATCTTCGAAGAAACAAAGGTTGATGTATGGCAGAATACAAAAGGTGGTCCAGATTATTCTGTTGATTGCTCCGATGGCAAAAGTGTTAATAACATTTCTGTCAACCTAAATTCCTCAAATTTCAAGCAAAATCCAATTGAAAACACACAATTTATAAAAAGAGAATCTGATAAACTTACAAGTTCTTTAGAAGATTCTCCTTGCGTGCTTTCGAAATTTGTAACGTGTGTTAACAACGGCAGTCCAGATACAGATGACTATTCAGATAATTGGGAGAATGATGATGACGAAATGGATTTAAACTCAGTTTTTCCAAATATAAATCAGCAAACTTCTAAAAATGTCACAAATATCGGAATGGAAAGTCCATCGTCAAGTATTATGGACAGTGCAGAATCAGATTCAAATTCAAAAGTGCAAAGTACAACTCCAAAAAATTCACCACCTCCTCAATTATGCCCGTCACCAAAATTCAGTTACGATTCCAAAAAACATCAAAGGCCAAATATAGTTTGTCAGAAAACAAAAGATATGCAGTTATTATATAATCAATTTATGAAAAGTGTTGAAAATGCTGATATTGAAAGTGATCTGAAGTCGAGTGAAAACGTGTCAATCAGCAAGACTAATAAGGAGAAAGAAAGTGAACAATTATCGACATCATCCACTTCCTATTCGTCCTCTTCCTCTTCATCATCTGATTCCTCGGTCTCATCCTCGGGGTCGTCTAGTACTACGAGCTCAAGTGATTCAGCATCGGAGGACAGTAATGATGTGGATATTATTAAAAACAATGATTCAAATGCAGCATGCGTTAWTGAAAAGACATCCGAAAAAGTCACCAAACGTCGTTCATCTGATGGCGAAAAAGCGACACCGCTAATCGCCTCAAAGGATGATTCGAAGCCAAATGTTGCCAGAGATCTAAAGAAATTGGAAAATCTGGAAGCAAACTTATTACGAATACAAATGATGCGCGCTAATTATGATTCAGCTGATGAAATAAGCGACGAATTACTGAAAATGGAGAAACTTTTCTTGCAYGAGAAAAATATCATTTTAAATAAATTTATGGACTCTTCAGCAAATAAATCAGTAAAGATTGAAAAAGAAAGTCACAGTGATTTGGATACTAACATCCAACCGACGGTCGACTCAATACAATCGGCTACATGCACGCGGGGTCAGTTCGTGCAGTCTTTGCAAAAATTGCCAAACAAGGACGGTATACCCGAAGTTGCAAATATATTTAGCACAAATCGAGAAGTAATTAAATTGACTATATCTCCTGTGAAGTTGCCTAAAACTTCTGCTATATTCGAAGTAGATAATGATATGGAAAATTCTAAACAAGCAATAGATACCCTTGAGAAGAATAACTCTACGGTTAAACTACCAAAACCCGCAAAAGAAGTTGCAATAGTCAAGCCTATAATGGAAACTAAGGAGTCAACGTCTGCTCATCATCAAAAACGTCGCCGATCACCAATAATATCCCACCATACTCTCCAATCAAGGTCTCGGTCGCGGCGAGGACGAATACGTTCGCTGTCTGTGAGTCCCTCTAGAAATAGTAGTGGACGCTGCATATCGCCTCAAAGACGYAGTGCTTTTTCAAAGCCAACACGCTACCGTAATTTTGAGCGTCGAAGCCGGAGTCGTAGTCCCAGTTTTAGCCGGCAAATTAATCGGCGTTCCGGTGATATCAGCCCAATTCCTAGRAAACGTCGATCMCTTTTAAATATCGACGACCGATTCCGGAAACATTCACCCAGAAGGGATTCTCGTTCACATTCTCGATCTCCATGTTCGCCTCTCAATCATCGCCATCGTGGCGGTCGATATTCACGTTCGCCTTTGCCTTTCAAACCGCCCTCACCACCCGCAGACCCTAATTTATCTCCAACTGTCTCACGCCGTGSCAGCTTTTCTCCAGAGCGACGGTCTCGTTCTATCTCCCGTTCACCGAGTAAGAGAACTACATCACCGTCTGAAAAATCTTACAATAGTAGCAGACATCGATCATTATCACCAAAACATCGGCTTTATAAACAWCATCCCCCCCACCATAGCAGCACATCATATTACTTCAATCACTCGCCGAATAGAATATCTTTGGATGCCCGTATAAATATCGTGCTCAATGGACCGTCTTCTGGTAACAATGAAAGTAACAATAGCATTCAAGCATACGAAGATTACGGTCATTATGGTCAGTATGGGCCTGCAGCTTATATGGCTATACCAGGCGACTCCAATAGTTTTTACACAAACCAGTACGTACAGATTACAAACTCTGGAGCTAGTGGTCCTCCAACACATCCCATTCAACAATCATACCCAAACCTTAGATCTGTTGGTACAGATGAATCAGAGTTATTTTCATCAATACAGCAGCACGTGAACGTGAATACATCCAACTTTTACTACAATCGTTTTGGTACACAGCCTTTTGGATATAATCAACCGTCACCATTACTAAAGGAGCTACCCAAAGCCACAGTAGCAGTGCAAAAGGGAAATGTACTTGAAATTGTTCCGTGTAGTGATTTGCTAACAGGTAACGTCACACAAAATACACAAGCCGACAGTGAAAATCGAATAAGAAAAGATAGTTCTAATGAAGTGGTTATAGAAGAAAATTCCGGTTCTAACGGAGAGAAAAACAAACGCAGTATTTTGAAGGCATTCGATGGAGAAACAAATTCATTGCAGACCGGCTTGGGGAGGTAAGAAAAACCTGATGTTTATTGCAAATATTCGTATAGTATGTTCGTTTTATTTATTCTTGCAGTGCACCGAAGAAGAAGCAAGTGAATTTCGAAGATGGAGTCTTTCCAAATCACAATAGTGACGAAGAAGACCGTAAGGTGATAGAAGCGAAAATACGTGTGAGGATGCGCAGATTGAAGAAGAAACATGGGATTACGCCGTCATGTTATAATTTGTTCGAAGATAAAGTCCGTAAAGAAAAGCAAAAAGGAAGCTCCAATAAAAAGGATCAACAACCACCGCCACCACCAAATGGTTTTCCACCTCCAAATTTGGAACAACCAATTTATTTGCGAACTCATACACCAACACCCCTTTTATACTTTCACTTCGATGGAGTTGTTCATTCAATGTATGTATCGCAAATGGAAAGACCAATACCTCCACGACTTCTTAATCCGAAGTGTTTGACATCAAGTAGTATTGGCATAGTTACTCATGCCGATTCACAATCTCCACTTTACATGCAGTCACCAATTACCGCGGTAGCACCACATTTGCATACAAGTAAAAAGGATACCCTTGCAACATTCACCCGCCCGAATAGAAATGAAAATCTTTCTCCAAAAGTGATTTCTTCAACTTCAGCACTACAGCAGACGGGAAGCCCGAAAATAAATCTAAAAATTTATTCGCCAATCGAAAATGTGCACCACACAGAAATTAGTAATGTCTCTTTGCCGAGTACATCGCCTAATAGCATAAAGGGTAACACCATTCATACAATCTCATCTGGGCCGATAGCGAATCATTTATTACCAAAGCGCCAAGATTCTCCGAAAGACGCTGTTAGCACACGTACAAATMTTTCAATGGGATTGTTACCTTTGCCCATAACTCACCCTCCTATGTCGCAAAATACACCAATCACATCACACACCCGTATTCCAGTTATAGGTGTACCACCAACAGTAGTCCCTAAAGTAATGTCGGCTACACCAGAACCATATATGGCGGGATTTCCAAATACAATGCTACAAAATACACATCCACATCATTCACTTAATCAAAATTACACTGTGCCCCCTTCTATAGCTCAAACGAACAGCACACATATGGCAATTGGGGTGCAACCATATTTTAATCCCCCGATTCATCGAATGCCCCGGCCCTTACCAAATTATATGGGTCAGCAGAATCAACCAAGTCCCTCCTCGTCGAACTTGCCTATCAATAACTTGGTAGATCCCGTAGAAACTGCTAATTCCGACTTGGATAAATTTACTAGCCCACAAACGATGGCGATTYCATTCAATTTTAAAGGACCGTAAATGAGCTGGTATTTTACATTTTATATATATAAGTATAGAATAGAAATAGTATTTGTAAACTAAAGGGATTAGCCATAAATTGTTTCTTTTTTTTAATCAAATATGTTCTATTACTTGAATCGCCTTAAACSGAAAAATCCATAGAAAATATGAATCAGTTGTCGACTAAGGCTCCATTTATGTACATACATACCTATATACATTTGTGTATATATTTATAATCATTGCAAAACAACATCTACATTTGTGTAATAATATATGTATGAATATAGAATATTTTAAAACTTAGCAAAAGCATTGGTGAAGTTAAATACTATATGCATAAATTCATCGAATTACATACATACATATGTATATGAAATTAATTCATAAATAATTTTTCATTTGATAATTTGAATTAATTGTAGGTTGAATGAATATTTAGGCAGATGTGCCACAAATTGAAGAAAGGAACGATATCCTTGTAGAATCATCACTTTGAGTAGTCTCCTGCTTGAGCACTGTGGAGCGTGACCTTAATAGGCTAGCTTGAAATCATCATTGGGGTAGGAATCTTTTTAACTCTACGTTTTGTATTCGACTACTAAGTTATCATCTACATATATCGGCATATCGAAAGCTTTTGGTCATGGTTTTGGTTTCTATAGATTATGTATACTAGCTTCAACAGGTACGAACCTTCTGTCGACTCTATTTATTGTAAATTTAAATAGAAGATTAATATTCATCTTCATACACATTGGTATTTCCGTAGATCTTTGACAGTATAATTTTATATACTCCAAACATTACCGATARCAAATTTTATTACAAATCGCTTAATTGATGTCAATAGCAAAGTACTGATAAACATTCTTGTTAATAAATAATATTTACTGTGAACTAGTATATTTGTGATTGAATTTTAACGTCACAATTTTATCTGGCAATGCCCACTGATTATGTCAAGAATTATAAAGCGGGTATTTGATTTTGAACAATTTGAAGGAAATGTGCGAAAAGAGAAAGGAGTACGCTAGACAATATGTTTTCGATGAAAATATTTGGAACTCTTCATCTTCTAGTGCTTCGGAAAAAGCAGCGGCATGGCGACGGCAGCTTATTTTATTACAAAATCCAGAACAGTGGGTTTTCCTTGTACACATATCAAAACTAGTATCAATCCACATTTTATTTATATTTAAGTAATTTGCCAAAAACTGAAGTCTACGCACTGCTACAACATCATTACACTCGTTTGAATTCAAGCACCCTAGACGAATACAAGAAGCAACGTGTGGATTCGGTAAGATCGCTTCTGAAAAAGAATAATCACATTCCTCTGTCCATGGTTTATAAGAAAGATAATTACGTATTTGAAGACTCAGATTTTGAGTCTTCATGTAGCGGTATTTATGAAAGTTGTAAAAAAATGGAAGTAACTGACGAAGATTTAAGGCGTTTGCAAAATTCAAGATACAGAGAAAAATCTGAAACACTCTGTAATCAGAATGAAGACGTGTATCCGAGAAGAAGTGCATTAAACTCTGGACATCAACAAACCCAACCTAAACTTATTGAAAGTGTTGAGGCAACGAACAATAAAATTACAAAAGAATCCCAAAGCTACGGAAAAGCCAACATTGAAGGACAACAACCGTCTATTGGAGAAAACCAATTTCGAACAGCTAGAGAAATACTATTGACTAAAACCATTCAAGTAAGAATATTTAAAAAATTTGTTTTTAGGATCGTTTCAGAATTATTTTATAGAAAGCAAATACTAATGACAGCAACAGTCGCGACAATGACATGCCAAATCCTCCCAAGAAAGCAGAGGTACCAATGTATTTTAATTATGGCATAACAAAAAAGGTTTTGGGCTCTCGTAGGACAATGAAGTCGGGACTTGTTTCACCAATAGCAAAGGACAGGTCGGTTTTAAAATATTAGATACGGCAAAAAATTATGCTTGACCTTTGTGTTTTAACAAAATTGATCAGTACATTTACTATGAATTCATCACCACATCATACCCAATCACCACCATTGAATTCAACCCATGAAGACATTGATGAGAGACTTAAAAATATAGATTCAAAAATGGTTGATCTAATTAAAAATGAAATAATGCACAAATATAAGAACCTGGGTATGCAAATAGAATAGTACAAATGAAAACCTTTCTGAAATTTGTTAATACTTAATAGATTGGGATGATATCGCTGGTTTAGATTACGTAAAATCGATTATTAAAGAAGCTGTAGTATACCCCTTACTSCGGCCTGATATATTTACTGGTTTACGTCGTCCTCCTCGTGGTATATTGCTTTTTGGACCTCCAGGCACGGGAAAAACGCTTATTGGTAAATGCATTGCTTCTCAATCGCAGTCAACATTTTTTAGTATTAGTTCCTCTGCTTTGACATCAAAATGGGTTGGTGAAGGGGAAAAAATGGTAAGAGCGCTATTTGCCGTGGCTGCTGTTTATCAACCGTCGGTGAGTTTTTCATTTATTATTATTTTTTAATTATTTGAATAATTTACTCGCCTATTCCTTGATCAAAGGTTGTATTTATCGATGAAGTAGATTCTCTTTTGTCAAAACGCTCAGAATCTGAACATGATAGCTCACGTAAATTAAAAGTATGTACTTAAATATTAAATGTAAAAACATTAATTAATTTAGGAATTTGTTTGATAAAAAAAAATATTGATAGAACGAGTTTTTGGTGCAATTGGATGGCGCTGCAACGAATGATGAAGACCGTGTGCTTATTGTAGGCGCTACTAATAGGCCACAGGAGTTAGATGATGCTGCACGAAGGCGCTTTGCCAGACGTTTATACATTCCCCTTCCCGAAATAAATGCTCGAATACTAATTCTAAAAAATTTGTTGGGAACTGTATGTAATGATTTAGATGAAAGTAATATACAGGAAGTTGGAAATCAAACTAAGGGGTACTCCGGTGCAGACATGGATATTCTTTGCCGTGAAGCTTCCATGGAACCATTGCGTTCAATACCACCGGACCAGATTCCCCATATAGTAAAAGATAAGGTAATAGCCTAAGGGTCGTTTTCGTAATGTCTTGTTAGCAGCCATCTGTCAGTTAAGTTCTGGTTAAAAAAGGTTCCTTAATGGAAGAAGGTGTCTTGGTTAATTTAACTGTCAGATGGCCGCTAACAAGACRTTGAGAAAGCCATCCTAAAAATTCTTTAAATCGTCTTCTGTTAATATTTTTTCAGGTGCGCCCAGTAAATATCGACGATTTTATGTCAGCTTTGCAAAGTGTACGCCCGAGCGTGTCGAAAGATGATTTAGCTCAATATATAGAGTGGAATAAAGAATACGGCGCAATTCGACAATTAAAATAACAATTCTGGATATCTGGTTGACTAAAATAATATGTAAATAGACACAAATAAATATTCTCTTCTTAATGTGCAAAAAGTTATGTATTATTTATGTTTAATTAAATTTACAGGGACTCTAAAACTCCAGAACACATGCTAAATGAGTAGCAGTTTGCGGACGCAGGATAAAAGACCTGGGATCCATCTTTCCAAATAGGGATTACATCGCCTAACTAGCACCTAACAGTATATTGAATTTCAACAATATGCTGGGGGTGGAAGGTTGAACATTATTTTCATTCATTTGCAATAAAGAATTCAAGCATTACCCAAAATTATATATTTTCCGCCGGTACAACAAAAACAAATCCAAATGATGTATATTGTGAACAGCAACAGAATTTATTAAGCATTTGGATTAATCGATTTTTCCAAAAATAACCAGCAAAATGTATCGATATTTGTAATATATTGCTTCAGACTGTGGTCGAGTTTATAAAAAGTAAATGTGCTGAAATGAGGAAAAAAGAGATCGTGTTTGATTCACTAAAAAGGAAGTTAGTACATTGCAAATGTATTTATTATTATAAATGAGCTGTATATGTAGTTATGTAATAATAATTAACGTTTTTATTCAGAAACTTTTTGACTGGTTTCCAAAARCGAAAAAATGAACGTCGAGCTCGTGCCAAAGAACAACTTGAGCGTGACATTAAAGAGGAACGCAAGAGGATCAGAAATGATATTAAAAACAGCATGACAAATATGAAGAAAACATTTCAACCACTTGTTCTGGATCCCGAAATAGAGGAAAAGGTACTTGAAAAAGAGTATGAAGACGATGAGGTCGAAATAAATGTTATAGAGTTGGCACCAGGAAATAAAAACTTGGATGAAGAAAGCGATAATGATTCTAACTCAAGCGAATCCACTGACAAAGGCTTCCATATAAATTCTATACCAGGAATGGAATTCAATGTTGAATCAGTAGAAAAAGAAAAGGGGAAGAAACCCAAACAAATAGACAACATCCCATTGTCAGAGGTAGGAAAAATAGGAAACAAAAAAACGTTAGATAGATTAAAGAAAAAGAAAGCATTAAAAGAATTTAAAAAAAGCAAGATTTTCAAACAAAAAGAACGAGCGGATAAGAAGAAACAACACAAAACTAAACGTGCACTGAAGCATAAATCTAAGCCAAACGAAAATGGTACATTTGGAAATAAAAATAAACATAATCGCTTCAAGCGTGGTCATTCTTCGAGACGAGGAAAACGGAGATAGTATAATACCACATATAATCTGTAATTAAATMGGGCCTTTGTTATTCAAGCCAAAAATAAATCCGAGACTTCAGCGATACTTACATATGCTACCTTCAGCATTAAAAAATCAAATACAACTTTATATATGTATATAATAATATTTATGTTTTATTTTAATTGAAACCTTAAAAAATGATTAAAATTTCATCTATTGTACAATATAGTCTTTTGTTCACAATTTATGTGGAACTTTCAACTTCAGTTGTAAGTAAATAACTATTGTTTATTATAAAGCAAGATTAATGACGGAAATTATAAGTGGTGGTACAGTTATATAATATGCAGTATCCCGAAGAAATCACAAAAATTTACAAGTAGATAATGCAATTTCCCCTACACTATTAAATACATTCCTACTTAATATTATATACTTTCTGCACTGTGTGCTAGTTTCTTATTTTTACTTAATAAATATTTTTTACTGCGTCTCTGTCAAAGGATAATTTCTATTCAGCTATTTTAATCGAGCAGTCACTTAAGTTATATTGAAAAATAATTAATATTTATAGTTATAGAAATCATTTTGTTGCTATGTTATGAGTTCCGTCGTGTATAACTGTTATTCAATCTGTGATTGTTTCGCTTATAAGACATCGCAGACATTCGCTGGAACTTTGAATTGAACCGTTGAAACTTAAATTTGCTGCGTTGGAATTGATGTCGAACATATCCGCTATAGTTTCTATTTGTGGCCCCGCTGGCTCTCCAACGTCTTTGATTTTCTTGTTCTTGAAACGGGTTGCATCCCGGGATTCGATTATCTAATTGTGAAGATTCTTCTTTTTTAACTTTTTTCTGACGTCCACGGTCGATTTCAGCATCTTCATCGTTTTGCCAGTCGTGTTGCCGCTGCTGTTGGGCATCTATTTCCACCTTTTGTAAGATAAACAAATAACTATAATTGGCGAGATTCAAAATTCAATAACAATAATAAGTTGGTTTTGCACAAAACAAGCATGKACATAAATATTCGCAAACACTAAAAACTATTCATATATTCGAAAATCGTCAAACAAACGTTTACCTCTTTAGACATTTTTGTTTGTTCTCCCTTCCACGAAAGTACGGGAACTCCATAGCCGCGATGGGACTGTTTCAACAAACCCGATACGGAATCTGCCGTTATATTGCTACATCTATATCCATTACCTGCAAAAGTCTTTTCAGACTTCACTTCTGATTTAGGCTTCGGACGTTTATTGAACGTATCTAATGATTTCTTGGCGAATGGATTCTTAACATTTTTTAAAACTTTTTTCTCCGGCGGACTGATACACGCAGTCACTGGCTGCAATGTAGTAACTTGCCATAAACCTGTTTTCGTTTTAATAACAGGTGGTGATGGTGGTGTAGAATGTGAACGTACAAACGGTGGACGAGATACACTCGATGTAACTATATGATCATCACGTTCTTCCTCATCGTGTGATGATTTATTTATGAAATCTTCATCCTTGCTRCTAACACATTTCTTTTGATTAAAAATTTCTTCAAATATATCAACTTTATGTTTACCCTTTGAACGATTGGCATTTGTTTCGTCTGCTTTGTTGGTATTCAAATCAGTTTTGCATGTGATTGTTTGCTTAGGAGCAGGATTGCAATCATTTTCACTCAAAATAGCCATTTTTTTTTGCTTTACATTTTCCATGAATGCGATAGTGTTCTGTGAAGGGCTATCTATAGGTCGTTTAATAGCACTTTTGACATCTTTTTTTTTCTTTTCATTCTCTCCCGAACCTATCAATATATCTTTTATTTCTGACGCCGATTCTTCATCGGTTTCAGATTCATATGGCACAAGGCTCTTTAAAGGCGTGATTGAAATCGCAGAATATTTGGCAGGTTGATTTAAATTTTGATTTTGAACATCGGATAAAGTTGGCATACTAGGCAAGCTTCCACTTGTTTTATGTAGCGGCACCAGCTCTGAACCTTTACTACGCTTTTTTTCAATAGATAAAGCCACATGGTTATCGTTAGTTGATGAGTTTAATTTTTTCTCCACATCTTTATTATCATAGTGTTTTTTTTCTTGCAGAGTACTAGTGCTTTGTTCCGAAGGTCGTTGAATTATATTTCTATTTTCTGAATRCAATGAGAATTTGGTTGATGCTGAATCACTCGATGTCAAAGGTGTGCTATTGGTTTGAGATTTAAAATTAAGCTGACGGTTCACGGATAACTTACTAGATATGGATCCATTACTAGTGGACGGTTTATTAATATATGATGGTGAAGATTTAATACCTCCGGTGAATAAATTACTGTCAAGATGTTGTTGTGAATTTGGTAAGCTACTAATTTCCGAGGGGAATATATTTTCATTTTTTGTATAACCATTTTGTTTTTGTGAATTTTCCTTAACAACTTCACTTATGCCGCTTGGCTCAGTATTACTTGGAATACGCTGGTGCTTATCTATTTCATAAAATATAATATAAGCATTGGTATTGCATACATTCTGTACAGAAACTGGGCGAACGTAGCTATCATCGTAGTTGTAATAAGAGCCAGTTTCGGTCAAACCAATGGCAGTGTAATGACCACAATGTTGTGAAGCTCCTAAATGGGTAACCATAGCAACTAATTTRTAAGTTAATTGTTCTCCGACTTCTTTTCGAGAAACAAATTTAGATAAGTCGATTCGTGGCTTGATTGTAATTTGTTTATTAAGCTTGGTACCCATAACCGAAAACCGTTTTAACTGTATGCAAAGCACAATTGGTGCGCGCTCTAATGAAAACTGTTTGGTAGCAGAGACCTAAAAATGAGGAAAAATATGGCATTTATGACACATATTTATACAAACATGTACTTTTTTTWAAATAAAATTTATAAAAGATTAAAACTCAAATAATTATGTACATATAAAACTTTCTCAACTTGTTTCTAGTTTTTCTTAAAATTAATTAAGAAAGATACATTTCACATACTCACTTTTTTTTTGCAAGATTCGCATTTATACCCCATATCTTCAAGACGTTCTCTGGAAAAATAGCCTTCTAAGGCTTCTTCAATTGTATCCGCTTTTCTTATATCTAATAGTAAATCTTGAAAATGTTGGAAAGTTACAGACACATGTCCACATGCTAAACATCGTACAGCAGATTTTAAATAACCCCCCAGGATCTGGTTAAGCGGTGTGGTTTCTTTGCTATATTGATCTAATTCTTTGTAATTTCGAAAACGGGTAAGGAAACACTTCTCCATCGCCTCCACTAAATATCTAAGAAATTCATGTGCATCCTCTTGTCTGCCCATAAGTAGGTGTTTACAAATAAACTTAAGTTTTGAATAAACTAAGTATGGGCGAATCGCTGATTGATTATTCTGTGATGCCTCTAAAGTTTTAATCATTGCACAAATTATGCAATTTTCCGAGGAATTGCATTCGTCTATATGTTTGGCATCTGAAATTAACCAATTCGCCATAGAGGGTACATGAAATAGTGCTTGTAATGTGGAATTTAGGTAGCATGTATTTCCGACATTCATCATACCGACTCCGACATGCCACTTACGCACTGAATTTTTCCAACCAATTATAACATTTTCTCGTGGATACAACACTCGCTTTGGTTGTGGCAACTCGTTAGGATTCTGTCGCTTTGGAGTTCCAACGGCACCATTCGGCGGCGCTGCATTAGTAAGTGAATCTGTTTTGGATGACGAAATATAATTATTAAGGAATTGTTAATTATTTATTTGTACAATTGTATGAATTTATTCTTTAATACTGACAAATGGGTGCTCAAATCACTATATACAAAAATCATATTGTTTGGTAATATATGTATGTCTATACTACCAACTTACCATTTTGTTCCGAATTTTTCCCAAGGGAGAGGTAATCATAGTTTGAATTTTTATTAGTAGTATTGGCTTTCAATATAT